TTATAATAATTTATTCGAATAACATCTACTATAACTGTACCTATACTAATATATTCTTTATCTAAATATTATTTCTGTGTCGCTATGTATGTTTTATATTATCATAGAATAGTCATAACCGTGATAATAATAATAATAATAGAATACTATATTGTATCTTCTTTATATAGACATATATGGTCACAGTTTAATTGTTTATCGCACGCAGTTATATTAACGCTGCTAGCATTCGACGATTTGACATAGTCACAGGTACGCAACTGCAACATAATAATACAAATTTTCCAATCATGATCCTATAACTTCGGTCTGAATTTTTTTTTTTTTTATGCCAAACAGGGTGCCGGTATCAAGTGAATTTCCCGTTTTTAATTTCGTCGGAGAAAACATAGCGATTATTCGAAATAGTTACCGTATTATTCCACAGTAGTATGGAAATCGAAGTTTACAGAATGATTTTTTATGTACGAAAATAATTCCGAATATATGAATTTTATATTGATTCGTTTTTGTTCAAACGTTACACAGAATATTTCCGTTTTATGATTTGTACACATATTTGATGACACATAAGGTAATCGACATAACATAAGTGATATAACAAAAAATATGAAAAACAAAAAACTCTAAAATGTTACATAGTCGTTATTTTATGTCACCCTTAATTTTGGGAATAAAATCACTATCCATTTTTGATTTCTAAAAGGGCAATCCATATTTCATAAATTCCATTAATATAATATTGAGTATTAGTTTAAATTCATTTTGGTGGTAAAATGTTTGGTTTTCGTCGAGTTAAGATATTTTTTATTTTTAGGCACGGGGAGAGTTATAGTGGAGCATCGTGTGGCAAGGCCCACGGCTTTCGAATTAATAGTGATCCACTTCTCTCCACCTACCCAAACTTAAAAGTGCACTGCTATATCTCGTCAATTGGTTGACGAAAATCAATAATTTAAACGCCAAAATGTATTTAAACTAAAACTTCATCTATTTATAAAATTTACGTTAAATTTGTATTAAAATATCACAAATATTTGAAGTTTTAGTTAAATTAAAAATTGGAATCAATATTTTTATGTTCCGTCAACTCGTTGACGAATTATTCCACTTTTAGTTGTTTAGTTATACTGTAGCAAAATTCAAGGGGAAAGTAATGGAGTAATATTCAAAAGCCGTGCGTCTCGAAACAAATTCCTAATAAAATGTTAATACTTTCCGAGATAATAAGCGTCTTACTTTAGTTTGATCGTCCTACATACTAAACAATTCTACTATAATGACTGAGAAAAATAACTTATAAATATCAAATATTTTACTCGAAATCACCGTAAACGATCGTTGCAAGTTCGTGATAAAAGAAAAAAATCACTCTGCAGAAGAATAAATACAAGAACATTAAAAGCAGTAATTTTGACTTGAATAAGAGGGCGAGGGACGTTTTAAGAATGGCGTTAGCAATCTTCGACTTTTGTATTACTAAAAGGAAATATTGGTCTATCTGTGCGCGATCCACCACCGTGTGAGTACTTAAATGAGTTTATGTGCACCTCAAAGTGGGATTTCCAAAATTCAACTCCTAAGGGTATCCCACACAAGTATTTTCGATAAAAAATTAAATTATTTTTTTGTTGAATTTTTATATTTTCATTGGTTACCTTGATATTAGTGACACGGGTTTTAATTTTTAAAACAAAACAATTATAATTATGAAAATACTTTGTATAATAATTATATGTATATTATAATAATTGTATGTACATAACATTTAACTCAACTTTTTCTTCTTGTTACACTAAATACAATTTATAATGAAGCACCTGTTAAATTTGGTCTAACAATTTTATTCATAGAGTACCAACCGATTAAATATTACGTAAAATTAAAATGTCTAATAGCTTAAAACTGGCTCAAATGTTTTGACCACGTCTATAAAAGGCAAAAATAAAATTTCTGTCCCTTTTCGCCTAAATTTTTCCCGTTTTTTCCATTTGTTATGAAAACCCCCTGAGGAAATCAAAAAATAACCTCCTTAAAGTACCACCTCAGAAACATTCACTTTAAGAAAAGGTGCTATACTTGATACTTCGGAGTAAGGTTTCTGGTAGAATTTTGTACATAGTATATAAAAAAAAAATTTAAATAAACATCACTGTAAAACCAATACTTTGATATACTCAGAAACAGTTTCTAAAGGTATTTTTAAATATAAAATGTGTTTTATATCCACGATAGCAAAACATCTGAATAAAGACTACACAATAAACTTAAATAAACATATTATGTTACACAAATTATATTTTCGTGTTATATTTTCTCGAATAATTCTACTGTATAGGACTAAACTTATTAATAATATACAATGATAATAGTATAAAATTAGCCATATCGCAAAATATTACATTCACGCAATTATTGGAAAGATTTTAAAGGATTTTAGGTTTCTGAAATATTTTTACAAATAAAGCCAGGTACGTAAATAGTCTAATAGGTAAATAGTACGGCAAAAGGATATCTAAAAAAATTGGACGGGAGTATTAAATTTCGTTCTTGTACCTATATAATATTATCATTAAATTATAATTATATTGAAACTTAAACAGCTAAACATAAAATATTTAGAAACAGTCAACGGTTTGTACAGTATCGTTATATGTTATATGATATTCTACATTTTAAATTCTGAGTGGAGTGAAGAAGATTATAATTTTACAAAGATGTTTATTTTTTTTTTATCTGTGCGCAACTTTGCTACCAGTAAACTTGCTCAGATTTCCACGTGTAGCACCTTTTCTGAAGTAAAATGATAGGCAGGTACTTTAGATAAGGAGGTTACTTTTCGAATTTCTCAAGAGTTTTCTCATCAAATACGAAAAACTGAAAAAACGGGAAAGTTTACGAAATATAATAAATATAATTTTTTTTTTTCTGTGGACAAATTTTCTACCAGAAATTTTGGCTCCGACTTTTAATGATAGTAATGTTTCTAAAACGAAATTTCACCTCAGAGAGGTACTTTAGAGGGGTTAAATTTTTAATTTTACGAAGAGTTTTCCTAAAAATGTGAAAACCTAGATAAAACATAGGAAAACCGGAAAATCGTAGGAAAACTGGGAAAATTGATACAACAATTAACAAAAATACTTATAGAAAATATATAAAGCCCATTTAATTATTTTACTATAAAATGGCATGTACATATTGTTGATAAAGCATCACTATCAATTGAAATCCGCTCAGAATCGTTTTTTTCGTAAGCAATGGTTTATTTTTGCTTACAGACACATGAAATTCTCGTCTATATCTTACCTTCCTACCTTCTTACCTTCACTTGTGGCTGCACCCATCCCTATCAACTTACCTTACTTTTTTATTTTTTAACTAAGAAGGGATATAATATATATATATATCAAACACGTATATTTTTTGAAACCGAAAAAAAATAGTTTAATATAATATTACTGTTCCCTTTATTATCGAGGTCTACACATATATTATCAAATTGGATTGAATATTTTTATTTTTAAAAAAAAAATCCTGTTAAATCATCAGTCTCAGTTAAACATAGCTGATATACACAATAAACTCGATTTGCTAACTGCTGATAAAAAGTGGTTTCAATCCATCATTTGATTCGAGGATCGCAGGCCCCTGTCATCCACATTTATATGGTGATGACTGTTATATCTGTGTATTATTGTTGGTGATTTCGTTCTTAGTTACCGCGGTAACAACGGTATAAAACCAAATTCCTACGTTACCACAGTATAAAAGTATATGATAAGGCCATACGCCTCAAATTAAATGACCGCCGTATTGCTTCGGACAAAAATATTATTAGTGCGATATAGCAGTTAACAATCTAGTTTGTAGTTTATTATATTTGCGCAGTGATATTTCACTTTCAAATAAAATACTATTTATATATATATTTTTTTTTTTATATAATCTTTAAAAGTATTTTATTTTATTTTTTTCTGTATCTTTTGGTAAATATTTTATTGTTATAACGTGAATTTCTTATCGTCCAAAATTATTTATTGTTATATTATATGGCCATAATAATAATACAATATAAATATTATAACAGCAATACATTCGACATAAAATCCGTAAATTTGATTCGAGAATTGATTTTTATCTGTCCGCTAGTCGGCAGTAAGTATAGTATATATACGTATATAATAGCATAGTATTAAGTTTTAAAAACGAAAAAGTAGCCTATACGTTCTCTTGACATCATATAATAATATATTATTCCATTATCTGATTATAATCCAACTTAAGTTATTTATATGGAATTTTGCCATATAAAACGGATTTTAAATTATTTATCTTTGAACAAAATGTAATTATACATTAAACAAATAAGGTACTAGCCATTTAGCGGTTAGAATTATAATTACTCAGATATAATTTTTTTTTTTTTTTTTTAATTTGATACTGCTCGCGGGTAAGCAACTGTTGTAAGATGAGTATTGTTGGGAAAGTTAACAAACGAGAAACAATTCTGAGTGGGCTATTATTATTAATTCATGTTTTTCCCTTGCTGTCCAGATTAGAAAGCGATATTCTAGGTGTGAACTGCTGATAATTACGATAAACTTTTCAAATGAATTACCCCTTCGGTCGAGAATCCAACATCTTTTGTGTACTGCCTGACAAAATTGGAACATTAGCCTAACCAAAAAAATTATTTAAAAAAAAATCTATTCTTCGGAAAGTATATTAAAAAAAAAACTTTCCAAAGGAAATATCACCGGGCGAAAAATCTGAATCTTAAAATATACCACGAAGAATTTAGAATAATTTTACTAATCGCAAATATTTTTCCGAGAAAATAGAAACAGATTTTTAAAATACTAATGTAACTTCTTCGTTATACTCTGAACCTAGTATGTTCGTATGTTTAAAATAAATAATTATAAAGCAAACATAGCATAATGAAGTTCTAGACGGACTTCTTAGTGAAACAATCAATAAACGCCAAAGTTCAAACTTGAGGTTATTTCGTATTCGGTGTAATTGGAGAATTCTACTTATTTTTTTTTCCTTGGGAAAAATACAGTAACTGCTTTAGAAATACTTTTAAAATGCATTATAAAATGTCGTCTCGTCCAAAATATTATCAAATACTAGAGACAAATAGAAGATATACAATATACATGCATGTGAAATAACTTAAAGACAAAGCAATGTGTATAGGTAAAGTGATGTAGAGGTAAACAATGAAGATACTGTTGATTTCACTTGGAGGGCGGTATAATTATTATACAACAAATCCGAAAATTGAAACTACATAACGTAATAAACTTATATTTGAAAAACCGGACATATAATTCGCTACCGTCGTTTAGGTATATCGTTGACAGAAACTTTGAAAAGTATTATTGGATATAGGGAAAATTTAGTTTTTATACCGGTGATTTATTTAATGTACAATACTCATTATTTTGCAAAGTATTGACTTTTTTCAAAAAATATTATTTTTTTATACGTTTAACAAATCACCTTATATAATATACAGAAGGCAACGATTAATGATCACAATAAAAAAACGATTCTGCACGGAGTGCGGGATAAATTGTTAAGATTAAGTCTAGTCGATTATTCCTTCTTTTCATCAAAGTAACCCACAAATCGCAAACAAAAAAAAAAACCTATGTACCATCATTTCGTTGTCACTTTTTTTTTCGCTTTTTAGAAAAACTACTCGAAATGTAAAAATATGTTTCAAATAAAGTAACACCGGTTAACATTTCGCATATTTTAAGGTACAAAGTGAATAATTATGAGCATCTAACCAAAAAACGGCGAAAAAAACACATATCTATGACAAAAATCTCTTCACTATAAAATAGTATATAAGTATACGTACTAAATAAACGAAAAAAAAAATATACCTATCCGGTTCTTTGATATTCCAGTATCCCGTGAAGTTATAATGACCCAAGCATATTGTGAGCAGGTATATAATACGAGTATATAATATTATTATACAGAAAATAAAATAAAGTACACAATTTAAAGTTCCGTCATTAGGCGCTGAACTTGTTTATAATAACTTTAAACTTCTTATACACCTAATTAATGTAAACTCAAAATCGATCGATAAAATTATAAATTATAACTTAGAACGCGAAAAAAACTTTCAATTTTTAAACGCATACATTATTATTATTATTATATAATATAGCGTATAGTCTTTCTGATATTTCAAATACTACTCGAATAATAATAATACAAAAATTACCATTTGCCGGACATTTTGATAAATAGGTAGACACACGAAAAAATGTTATTCACCGTAATTAACCGTATTATAACCTGGTAAAAGTTTCGCTTTACGAAAATAAATTAATTTTGGCGCATTTACGGCCGTGGTAATAAATTAATTTTCCGTTTGTTACGTACGGCATAATTAATATAAATGGACATAATTTTTTATACGGATTTAAAATATAGTATTGGGTTGAGTTTCATTTTTTCAAATTGTTATTTCGATTAGTGCGTTCGTGGTTCCCTGTTTTTGCCGAAATGTTTTGTTCAGATAACATTAGATTTGGATTCCGTTTACGGGAGTTGATATAAGAGGTACTCAAGTACATACTTGAAGGTAAATTTAGAAATTTTAATCATTTCGTTGTGTAAATGCACCATACAAATTACTTTATTTCGAATAGTACGTCTATTTTTATATTAGATTCATATAGTTCCATTTATTTTTATTTTTTTCAAATCATTTTTAATCAAAACAATTTTCAAAAACCACCTCAGATATAGGCATTCAAAGTTGTTTGCAAAATTATATTTTCCAAACAATTAAAATATATTTTACTATGTAAGTTTTATTTTGAATTCAAATTAACTGCTAACGCTATGCATTTTCATTTTTTTTTTAAATTAATTTTACAATATCACATTTTTAACCCAATTTATCGTATCTCGGGTTACTTTCTAGACAATAAATTTATAACGTTCTCAAAATCGAAAGGTCCAGATGATGTTGGCATTCAATACGGATTTTCACTATTATCGAGTCTTGCAAATACGTTATAGTTGTTTCGATGTACAGTAATAGTATTATTATCGTATTTTAAATTACTACTTACATAAAATATACAGAATATTTCATTTATCATTTATCCAACGATTTTCTTGAATAATTTTAAGCGGATTTCTGTTTTCTTCAAACATTATAATATGGAACTGTTTAAGCTTTATTTCACCACTGTTTTCAAACTTTACACTTACTCCTGACGCCTTGAATTAGTACCTATTCACTTTGGAATGTCAAATAACAGTCATTATTTAAACACGGATTCCAATAGGTATGTAATTCTAAAAAATCAGCCTTATTTTTGACTTCGAATTTATCCGTTTAATTTTCATTTGTGAGGTATTAAAATAAATATTGTCCAATAATATATATTGCATTGTATTATATAATACGAATGCTTACTTAATTGTTGTTATATAACATGTTAACTATTATAAATTTTAAAATACAATTTCGAAACCAAATTTGGTATGTGAAAACTCAAAAAGTGCCCTCTAAAGATCTTAAATTCTTAACAATTTTGATTAAGTCATTTTCTTAATTTTTTAAAGCTCTTAAATTCTCTACAAAATTAAGAAAATTACTTAATCGAAATTTTTTAAAAAATGCAAAATAACCCTTTTAATCGCATTCAAAGGTACATGAAATGGATTTGTGACAATACGAAAATCGTACAGCAAGTATTAGAAAAAAAAATGTGAAGCCCATCGAAATCCTAGCCATGGTTTTAATAGTTTAAAATTTAAATCGAAGTATTTGGAAATGTTTACTAATTCATCATCTAAAAATGGATGTATGGTTTATGAATCTTCCCTACTCCTCCGGAATTAAATGTTTAACTGTTATATGCGGTAAATCCGATATTAATGATATGCCAATCAATGTGTTTAGAAACATATTATTTTCTGTGTTGTTTAAAAGGGATAGGGATCCCTATATAAAAATCAAAAAGTATACCCACTTATTTAAGTCATAAGATTAGGGGTAATAGTCTAAAATAATATTATAATAAAGCAATAATTCCTTAAAGATTAAAAAAAAAAAAACCAAAAGCAAATTCGCTTAAAGTTATCCGATAAATCACTGTATTGTAATAAATGGATCGCTCTGTATGTAATATACGTATCTGGCCGTTAATCCGATGACGCCGCCGCCACCACCGTCTATTGTTGAAATCCGTTCTCTCCGAGATTTACTCTGAAAACATATCTTCACTATATGTATATAATATTATTATTACAACGGTGTCGAACACAACAACACAAAAACCCTCAACGGGATTTCACTCAATAGCTCGGGATGGATGTCTGGAACAGCAATACTTCACATCATTACTATCTCGAAAATTACGTCCAGTAGAGTTTATAAAATACGTATGTATATAAGCGCACAATGCGAAAATTCTCCATCGTGCACATCATTATAGTATTATTATTATTTCTATGCTAACACGTAGGCATCGCAATTTAACGTGTAGTGCAGTGTATTGTTTTGTGTACATGGTCAGGTATTCTAATCTCCACAGCCTTCAAACTTAATCACACACGATGCTCTGTATCTTCGCTCAATCGAAAATTTCGACGTTTAATTATAATATTAATTCGTCCGTTATAAAATCTCTGTGACATCTCTGTCAATATAAAACTTTTGTATCTTCAGATAAATTTCTACGGATCAAAAATAACTAATCATACTTTACTATATTTTAACATATTTTGTTTAAACTAAGTTCGATAGTTAAAACCGATTCCCGATTAAAGAATAAACGTGGTTGTTTTTAAAACTATTTTTTAGTTTTGAGAAAGAAAAACAATGTCGTTCGAGAACAAACTACTAGTATACTAAAAAGTATCTGTGGTCTACGTTGTATATACGACTACGAACTGTGGTATCGACGTAGGAGAAAACAGTAGACGATTCGACAGCAGAGTCAGCATTGGTCAAACAAGATCTAGAGAAATTAAGTGTTGGAAGTGAATTAGCAAGAGCGAACACACAACCAAGAGAAGTGGAAGGCAGTGTTAGTGACGGTGACAAAAGATGATGAAGTGTTGTGATACCGGGAAGACGCCTAGTAAAATAATAAGAATTGTTTATTAATAATTTATGTTAAAAAAAAAAAAAAAAAAAAAAAATGATATACAACCAAATTTTAACCGGTATTACCTATAACAGGGGGAAAAACGGGTTTTAATTAGTCAGTGGTAACCATCGTCATATCATTTAAAATAAATACACAATACACTTACTGGTCGTTCCAAAATGTTTCGGCTTATCACAAAATTAGAATGCTACGTCAGTAGTGAACTGAATAGTTTTCTACGTAAAATTTTGCCCCCATCCCGTGATGAAATGTATTTTTTTTTTTTAAACTGCATTAATCCTTTGCAGTATCATCCAGTAGAAATGTATAATGAATTATTATTCTACGATCTTGTTACACGTCGTAAAAGTGATAATTATTATTCTATAAAGTAAAATAACAAAGGAGAATACTCGGGGCAGTGGTGGTCATAATATTTATAATATGCATCACGGACGAAATAATGGAATACGAAAGTAGTCAGATTTATCGTTGGCCTTTATTATTAAACCGTACGGTTTAAGTGAAACCGAGGAACTGTGGATGTACGGGTGCAAGATAAAAGGTTACAAACAAATTACAAGTTTCTGGATCGCGGTAGCTATATAACAATGATATACGCTCGTATAATAATAGCGGTATTAATACTGCTGCAGCAAACGACCTTTAAAAATACAAAAATATGTTAAACCAGATATTGCGTTTCTTTTCGCTTTTCTGCAGGATCTGACGAAATTTATTTGCGTACTTTGTGCGATGCGTATAAGGTACCCACTAAAAACGGATATGTGCGAATGATTTTTTTTTTTCTATTTGTTTTTGGTGTGTATTATAGTAGTACACGTCAAAAATGGAATATATTCCGTATTCCGTATTTCGACGTTCTATTTTAGAAAATTATTATTACGATCCGCTGCAAACGAATCAAAAGTTTGATATTTAATTTTAAAAAAAAAAGAAATTGCGTACCTATATTTTATCTTTCTCTTGTGTGTATTAAAATATATAAAAGATATAAAAGATTATAGCAGTTTATTGTGTCCTTTAAAAATTATAGTAAGTTTATAATAATATAATTTTCCGGTTAGTGTTCCGAAACATAAAAATAATACGGTAGATTTGTTTTTCGTTCCTCTGCATATATACGTAGTCATAATATCGATACGGCAGTGGATACGCAACTAGGTAGTAAAAAAAACCTCTTCATTCGGAAACAAATAAAACTAACCTTGACCGTCGTCGTCGTCAGAATTACTATAATATTATCAATAAAAAAAATTCTACGGACACAATAATAAATAATGTCGATAAACATTGTCACCCGCTTCTCTACACTGCGAGCACGCAATTCGTCGCAGTTTCTATGACGTATATATTATAATATTATCGAAAAACCGTGAATTCGTGATACAACTAATTTTTATGAATATTAATATAATATCACTATACCTAGATGCGTTAACTTTAGAGCGTGTTCTTTATCTCCGCGGAATAACTATCCTCTGTAAGTGTGTTCAACAGACTATGATGCTGTGAACAATCCCCTTACTAGAACGACGCGAAACGTAAATGTCGAATTTCTCCTTTTCTCCTCCTTTCGTTAGGTATCCTTTGATTATTATTACCGTTAATTACATTGCGTATTTTTAACCGTTAGGATACTGGCCTGTGCTCTCGACGAATATAAATAAATATTATAGTTATTAATATTATATATTTGTTTTGTATTAATTTGTGCGCCCTCGAAATCGTAATATCGCATAAAATCAAAATTATAATACAATATTATCTGCGCGATTGGCAAATTAATATACCGTAATTAATATCTCGTATATATAGACAAAGACTGGATTTCAAACAATTATTATTATTATTGTATACACCGGAAAATCTATAGGATATTATCATATTATTATATTAATACTATGAAGTATTATAGCTGTGTATGCGGACCGATCCCTGAATTGTTATTAAAGTTTAGGATTTCACGAGAGAAGGATAGAGAGAGCAAGCGGAGTGTTAGCGGATAATCTCAAATTATATAAATCGTCGTGTTCAACATATTATTTTACTATCAGTTTTTTTTTTTTTTTTTTAATCGCACGCACCAGTTGCAATTGGAGTCCGTCCGATCACCTGTTGATGAAATGATGCTATCGTCCGTCAGTGTCTTCGAAATTATTATCCGAATGCTTTGGACAATGTACCCGTCTAAGTCGGTGTGCGCGTTTCAATCTTTTCGAGCGTTCGAACACTCGCTATAATCCACTATCGATTCGTGCCATTGGCATATTATATTATGTAGAATAAAACGTACGGAAATCGAAAGTGTTCTTCGACAGAGGGCAGAGGTTAAAAAAAAAAAAATCATGTTTCGTGTAAGTAAGCAAAACGGCAAGGAAAAGGTCATTGTGGGACTACAGAGGGCACAATTGATTTATACCTTTTTTTTTTTTTTACTCGACAGGACGACTTTTTTTTTGTCACTGCAATAACTGTCCACTATGCACTGTTTGAGCGCTGAAAACTTTTTATTTTTTTAGAACGCATTTCGTTTCGCGATAATCTTACTATGTATACATACATATATACATTAACATACACATATAGCAGTAGCATTCCGAATTTAACGAATAAAACATTATAAATGTTATGTTATTCATATTATGAAATTTTTGTTTTATTATTATTATACCTGTGTTTTAATTATTTTTTTCAGGATAAATAGGCATAACATTTTTTTTAGTGCTTTGTTAATTTTAGATTCGGAGCATAGCGAGGAATATATTGGTTTTACTATTATGTGTATTTGTACAATTTTTTTTTTATTTATCGTGTCTATGAACAACTTTTCTACCAGAAATCTTATTCCAATTGAAAAATCGCAAGAAACCCTTTTTCCTAAATTTTTAATATACTTGGGGATTAAGGAAGTCATTTATTGATTTTCTCTGTAGTTTTATTAATAATTAAGAAAAACCGGGGAAAAAACCGTAAAATAAAAACTGACAAAGTTACAGCGACGTTACGATTTCATTACTTTTAACTTTAATGCTTTCCGTTTTCTACCAGGAATATTACTTCAATAGAAAAACAACAACAGATCTTTTTTGTTCAAATTTTAATTTAACTGATGACCAAGAAAGTCGTTTTTTTGATTTTTTTGCAGTTTTTATAAAAAATAATTTAATAATACGTATAAAGAACGGGTAATTTACGAAAATAATTCTTTTATTATTTTAAATTTGTTTTTTTTTAATTTGACTCAGTTGAAAATATTCGTAGAAACTTGAAATATTAACAAAAACTAATATTTGTTTTTCTAAACGTAGTAATATTTAAAAAAATATATGTGCCGATTTTGAGTTATTTATAGACATTTCAATTTTGCTAGATTTTTACGTAATTTTTATTTAATGGGTTCTATGAATATTAAATTGTTAGACTAAACATAAAAACTTAAAAGTTTGACAGAAGGTTCATTATAAGTTGTGTTTAGTTTAGTGAAACAAATAGTGTAATGCATTTTTTTTTTGTATATGACTTTTAAAATGAAATTTTGACGTAAATCGTAAATATTACGGCATTTAAAAACATGTATAACCAAACTTCGTTACAAATCGTTTTTCGTAAGTAATGGTTTATTGTTGGTTACAGGTATAAATTAAATAACTTTATGTATCCCAATTTCCCCACTACCCATCTAAATCAGTAGCTAGGGGACGACCCCAGTATCAGTGGTTTTTTTCTGTAATTTTTTAATTTGTATAGATTCCTCACACCTTTAAATAAAATATTTTTTTTCCTCTATGCTTGCCTGTATTTCAAATATTTCTTCGTATACCAAATTTATGTACAAATTTAAAATAACTGCTATCCAATCCTTCATGTTTATGTTTATATTAATTACGTTTGGTTAAAAATACGTTTAATATATCGAGATAAAGTTAAGTAAAATAAGTATTAAAAAAAAAAAAATGTACAAAAACCCGAAAAATAATTCAAATTCGAAGAGTTTTTTTTTCCTCTTAAAATATATGTTATAATTTGAACCAAAAACCATTAGTTTTAGTTTCGAACCCCGTTTTCAAATAAATCTTAAATATTTTGTAAAAGTTCAAACTCTATAGGTAATATTATATAACCGTTTGGAGTTCGGCCGTAATATTATTTTGCGTAGGATTCACCAAGGTCAAAAGTCCGAAGAACAAAAGTTTAAGAGTTCGTCTAACGTTCGTGATCAATTTTACGGACATTTTATTTTGTTTTTTTTTTCACTCGCCCCCATACAAGAGTTGTACAACTTAAGTTTCACTCCATTAAGTCACACGTTCCGTGGTCGTGAATCTGAACAATAATATTATGCATGTGACAATACTATTATAACGTTTGTGGTTTGATAAAATAATAATAATAAAACGAAAATAATAGAAATTTTCTGAGATGCACACAGAGGTCTGAAATGAAAACTGACTTACATTATTATTATTAACTATTTTATTTTACTTCAAATAATTCTGCGAAAAATCAATTCTAATCAACTGCTAACTATGGGGCCAGTATTGGATGTTTTTTTTTAAAAAAAATTACATGTTTCATATTAATTTATATGTTCTTAGGGTACTGAATCGAAATTATTTATCGGTTTTGAAAACAAGTCGTTAAGTAGGAGGTTACATTTTACATTTCACATAATTTGTATATTTTACAGTAGTTTTATTGTTTTTAAAAGCTACTGAATCACTGAATAGATAAAAAAAAAATCAAAATTAGTACTGTAGGAGGAAGAAATAAAATGTAAATTACCAATGTTTTTTTTTAAGTTAAAATTTATATCAACCTTTTTAATATTAAGTATTTAACTTCCACTAGAATTTCTGCAATTCTTTTTTTTAGTAAATTTCTGAAACATAATACATAGCGATAGGAAAATATATGATCCCTATATCACGATAAAAGAATCGATTGATAGGGTTGAAATAAATTGATTAGATATGTGACTGCGTAATGTTTTTTTTGCATTATAATGCAATAAAAAAAAATACATGAAAGTTTCTGATTAGGTATTTTATAATTGTGTGTATTCTGTATTGAGTTATGTATCGGTGTGCTAGATGCTGTTTACAAAAAAGAATCTAGCGAAAAAACAATCACAATGGGTTTGGTAAAGTTCCCTAATATAATATTTCTTAAATAACAATTATGTAAAAATTATTCAGTTTTTTGGCTTTTCGGAATTTTTAAATTAATAATGCGCGCTAGTACAAATGGGTGGAAACAAATATATTAAAAAGGTGTAAGATATTAAATATAAAAATATATGGGAAGAAAAATACCAAGAACAGAATATATTTGACTCAAATAATGAAAGACACGTAGTACAGGGAAACACACAAGAATTTAAAGGGACTAAAAACTACGATAAGAAGGTATAATAATACGTAGAGATGCAAACAATTAACCCAAGGATTATTAACGAGTAAAATAAAATAAAGTTTATTTCATCTAAAATGAACTACATAAGTACTGAACATAAAATTAACAGTTCCACAATATAATTCGCAATGGAGACGAAATGTCGACAATATAGAAAAAATCGAAATTTTCCTCAATCAATTCTCTTACGGTATACTACTCAACATCGCCAAAACGATTTCGTATCCGTTTACAAATGCAACAAAAGAGTTATAAATTATAAAAACGTTGACAGGTTCGAATATATGCCAACGTATCCATGAATTCAGACCGCGTTGTAGAGGACATAACCTGAGGTGGAACTGTATAGGTAAACGACATTCGATCAGCTGATATTATTACTATAGTGACGACAAGATCAACAATATTATGTTACACCGATGTAATAGCATCTCTTAATTTTTCAATCGGATTCCGTGGATTTTTCGTGTTGGCTTTCAAAAAAAAAAAAACCTAGTTTAAAAATGTAAAATGTGTTGAAAAACAAATAAGTATTAAACACACGTTTTCGGTATAATACGAATGACGGGAAATTAATAGCTTTCGCGAGACATAATATTATTATTATTATTACTATTATTATTATCGTACGAATAAACGCACTTAAACAAATTGAAAACTTTTTTTTTTTCTTGTGTACACACTGCAATAGTACGCGCTTTTTACGAATTATGGTAATGCACTTACGGGATTCGAATGTATATATAATATTTTTTTAAACCACCCTCTTAAACATATTGTATACAACCGCTGAATAATATTTGTTTTGAACGTGGCGTTATTTTGTTCCTAGAAGAATGTGTGTCTCTGATGTGAACAGCATTATGATAAAATATATGCTTTTTGAACCGTGTGCCAGCCGAAAAGATATTATCATCTTTGAATATATTTTTCTTGTCAAGAAAATACTCTGGTTCATGATTGAATGTTGTTTAAACGTGACCGGTTTTTAGGTGATTTACGTTGTTTTACCATTCGTCCTTCTCAATAATTCGTTACCGTGTCGACTGTTGACCATTATCGACTTCAGGTACGTATTTAAAAATATCACAAACAGCTCAGAAAAATATATGACCCAATCATTTATGCCCGAATCAGGAAATGGAGGAGATTTTATATAACGATGACCTTTAAAGTTCAGATCCAGATTCCCGATATAGTTAGAGAAATCATTAATATTATATTGACGTGGGCTGGCGATGCCTGGCGTTTTTTTTTTGGATAAAAGCCTTTAAGGAGACCACGGTTTAGGTCAGAAGATTTTGGTAAAAAGAACATTATGCCGGCTGCAGAAATAGGAATTGGTGGCGGATTTCTAATTAGTGGCATGGCCTTAAGACCCGAAACTAAGCGGAAGAAAAATAATGAACAACATCGTATTTTATCAATCTTTTTAGAGAATTTTATGTAAACGTAGGTTTATCTGTGGTCTTATGTTCGTCCATAATTTCGAATACAACGTAGAGGTATTTTTTTTTTTTTTTACTGATTTTTGATTTCCTTGATCACAATGCACTATCGAAAATTCATGATAAGTGAGCACCTATTAACTCGCTGTTTGGGTTGAAAGTCAAAAAGAATCAAGCTCCCGGCGGCCCGGTGTTCACATAACGAAATTGTTAATCACGACGGACATGGGAAATTATTTCCGTTTAACGTGTTTTACAAAAAATCTTATACTGTAACATAATATTATACTGATAACATTGTTATTATATAAGTGCTGCAGCAGCAGTAATACCAATATTATGGTACAAACACATTAGGTAAAGGGGTCGCCGCCATCAGTTTAGAAATCCAATTTCTTCACCGCGTATCGGATAGCGCATCAAAGAATTTGGCTGACCAGCGGAGAAGAGGGTACAAATTGCTGATGTCAAAACGGATATCGTTTTCTCAAACAGAGTCTCCGTGCTCTCGATCGGATTACTGTACATGTATATCCGGAAGTGCGATGACGCAGTGCGTTATATATTTTATATTATAGATCCACAGATCATATTATTGATGGTTTAAAAATCAATCTCAAAAATTTCGAATTTCGTTACTTAATAAAGAATTTTGTGTCCTTTGCAGCAATCAAAAACATTACCTTCGCATTTTTTATCTTCCGTTCTCGATTTCTACGTTTATTTTTTATTAATTATTATAATAATATAATTCTGACGACTATAGTTTTTTTTCCGAATACATCCGAAAAAATAACGTTAATAACGGCTATTTCGTCATGAATTACGTTTTACCATAACCTAACAAAATTAAATGATTCCCTCGATTCCCACGTACCGTAGGTTCAAGGATACGATCGGAATGCTGTAAAGTATTTGGGGGACCCGCACATTATGATTCGACGCAAATCGACCACAAAAGATCCTATGGCCGATGAACCGATAACCAATGAACCGGTTGGTCGTCCAAATTGTGATCCAAATATAATCATATCATAATTTTTGTATAATTGTGTATTATAACTGATATATACTGGTATATACTAGTACGTATATCTTTTTCCTGTTACGTTTGGACATTTCTTGCCCCTCTCTCTGGACTTAATGTGCACAAATTCGGGAATTAGTGTTCTTTTGTAGGTGGATTAAAATGATAAGAGTCGTGTTGGATTTCAATAGTTAACTAACATTGCTGTTGTAGTTGAAGGTTGATTTTTAGCTTTGTAAACCCAAATGAAGCAAGAGAGATGAAATATTGCATATGCATTAATGTCAATGATGCCCCCGTCCCCTTTACCATTTTTATGATCAAATTTACACCACTTTTATATTTTTATTATTTTTAAAGTAATAGGTAGACTTTTATTACGATACATAGTATTGTATTATAATAGTACTCGATTATAATTGTTTTACAAAGAATATTGTATATTATACAAAATATAAGGGGGTGATACGCGTTTTTACATTTCCGCGGGTATACCGAATGTTGAATTCTCGGATGAGATACGTTTATATAATATGAAATGCCCGTGACTATAATAACATTCAATACAACGTGAATATTACCTGGCTTCTATACTTATGTGAAAAGAAAAAAAACGCACCGCCGCACTGCGCCGTGTTTATGATGGAATTGGTTCGGGCAAATCGGAGGGGTTTTTTTCTACTTCAAAAAATACCTACATCTCGAATTTTTCAGTATACCTGTTTATTATGTATTATATAATATACTACAGAAATATCGCTCGTATACGTTTAAACTGCGCTGCAGCAGTGATTATGAATTTCACGAAGCACTCCGGCATGAATAGAATCGGAACACCGAGCACATTGATGAGACGGTCGGGACGAGTACATTTTGGAGCAAGTTTTTTTTTTTTTTATGTTCTGTTCTTATTGTACCTGCATTACAATATAGAATATATACCTAGAAAGCCTGTTGCCAGTGTATTTATTATATATATACTTATAAGGTAATATACAAGTATAACGGAATAATAATTTATTGTTATACTATACATTTAACAATATAATATATATAGACACTCGGTGTACAAATATAATAATATATAGGTGCGATTGTAGTAGGTAGCCGAGTGCATAAAAATTAAATTGAAAAAAAATTAAATATTTTTGAAAGATTGAGATATTGTTGCATGGGCGTATTTAAAAGAGCCACGAGAGGAGACATTAGCCTTTTCAAGGCCTTTCAAGGCTTTTTCGCCACATTTCGAGGGGTAGTCATAACCTTTAAATACATTGACGGGCGTTACTACTATAATAATAGTAATATGGAATTTTGTATAAGTTAACCTAAGTAATAGCAATAATTGTTTCGATGATATCAAACGATTGTAGGTATCACGCTGCCGCATCGCGTTAATTTAGATATTAAAGCAGTTTCATATTTAATGGGAAAATACACAAACAACAATTAATAATACATTGTCCGTTTGTCGTTCATTTTATCGACACTGATAAGCTGATTGGCACTATGTAATAGTATGAACAAATATTGTTCTGTGATATTACATAACGCAGTGTTGTTTATTTATTACAATTGGTTATACATATTATAAAATCAATATTATTCCTATTCCGTATTGCGACTTATCAGTGTCGATAAAATGAACGACAAACGGATAATATAGGTAAAAAAAAAAAAAAAAAACGAACTTTATTTAAATAAAACAGATATAGTGATTCGTATTTATTTTCCTGTCGTGATGTTTTGAATATTAATCCAGAAGATTATTGTTATTATAGTTACAAAAATATTATTTGCGCTTGATTACCTACTTGAAATGAAAATACAGATTTCTTTGGTTTAGATTACGAAGTATTTACTTAAGTACTTTCATGGTGATGATTTTGGACATTTTAAAAATCAGTACCTAAGTGCTCAGTAATGTGTGAAGACATCGTAAATTATAATTAGTTTATAACACAACCCTTTATTTTTTTAAGTATTCTTTTCATGGTTAATCGATTTTTTCATGATTCTTGTTATTATTATAACAGATTTTTTTACTTAAATATATTAATTTCTTTTCGAATATAATTATTTCTTTCATTTAGTATTAATTAAATTCCTACAGTATACGATGTGATGAGCAGTACAAAATGTATGCATTTAGTTACATAAGTTATGCATAATAAGTATACATGATTTTTCTTTCAAAATTCCTGTGTTGTAAACAAAATTCTGTTCTTACATGATAAACTGCACTAAAAGATCAGTACTCTAGCGCACCAACAATATTTATACACGCATCTTTATAATAATCGAATAATAATAATAATATAATAATTATAATAATCGAACATTGACTGTGTGGTACGAAGTATATAAAATATGAGATAGATATTTTTTTTTTTTTTTTTGCGGCTGGAATCATTTAAATCTCGATCGTCTACATCATCGATAACATTTCCAAAAAACAATATTGCATTACGGTCGGTTTTTCAAGTGTATTATAGTTTTCGCTCAAGGGAAAAAAATAACTCGATTTGCTGAAGTAATTTATTATAGTTTTTTTTACTTCCGTAGGAAATTTATCATTCGACGAAAACATGGATAAAAAAAATTATTGTTTTTTCAACGATTTTATTTATTATTGGTTCATTTATACTTATTGAAATTCGACCATCTTTTCCGTTATCCGACAAATCTAACAATTTAAACAAAACCTCATATAGTCTGTTCTGGTGGCAACACAAAGTGGAAAAAAAGCAAGTACTAAATAAAAATAATTATGATTTCGTAATTAAAATCCATTTTTTTTTCTTTTCAAACAAAATTATAGTTAAAATTATTTTTTCTTTCTAGATTAATCGACCTAATACTTTAAAATCTTTTTTGGTAAAATGGTGAACACTGATAGATATTTGTATATTTCAAAACCCATTATCCAATTATCATTTATCGTCCATACAATATTCCATCGAGATTTCGGTTCCTAATTTGATAAAATTACAAAAACATAGGATATCAAATTAACCTACTTACAATAAAGTTACAAAAATTAGCTGCAGTACATTATATAACCAATGTTCAAAGTATTCATAAATATAATTATACCTAATATCTGTTACACCACTAACTCGTTGTTGAATCAGGAAATGCATAAATCCAATGATAATAAATTACAAATTATGGTACATAATATATACATTCTAAGAGCACATATTTTCAAATTTAATACAATTTGATTATTATATAAATTGATAAAGCCAGTGTTATTCCAAATATGTTTTGTTTTATAATTTAGTTTATATTCGTAGCGTGGCGAAGAATATAAGTATTGCTTTTACAACGTTTATTGTTTATAATTATTTTTTCTGTCATCAATTTTTCTACCAAAAATCTTACTCCGATATATCAATAATATATATGTATATTATAGGAAATGAGGGTTTATTTAGTATACACACTGGCATCAACGATATATCATTGCGATCGAAAAACGAGGTTTATAATCGTATTATTCTTTTGTAGCCTTGAATATGGTAAACCATAAAATCGACAAATTTAAACCGCGATATATCTGTCATTTATTATCAGTTTTTAAAACTTATTTAAGAACAATTTTAGAAATCTAAAAAAAAAATGTTTAAATATTGCACCACTGAGCGGATAATCCATATCTTTCAAGGTGCGTAGTGAAAACCTTAAGTCATTTTACTTGTCAAAAATAATATCTTAGTAAAATAAGGTAGTAATACTAATTAGGTAATTAGTATTATACTTGTGCACGTTTATTTAGTAATATTAACTGGTTTGTAATATCTGTTTTAATTTTCCGACTTAATAGGCTAGACACGTACTTTCTTATTGCTAAAAATATTAGTAAACTACCACGTTTAATGGAATATTGTACAATAATTTTTTATAACTTTTAAATTATTATACTCGATTACTTAATAGTTTAAAAATTGCATTGACAATAACATTATTAAATGTAAGCCATCGTAAAATACGATAGTTTTTTTTATCTACGGAAATAGTATAATTACAGAAAAATTATATATTTTTTCAATAGCCTTTCAATTTATCTATTCAAAGATTTTGAGTAAATTTAATTTTGCATTTTGAACGCAATTTGTTAGGTTCAGTAGGTATTCAAATTTAACTAGATAAGTTTTACTTATCTTTTATCTTATTTCGATAAATCATTTCAAGTTATCTAAATATTTATCTTATATTTATAATTCATTTATCTAAATTACATTATTTTATGAAAAATATTAACTAACCAGAATTGTTTTCCAAACAAAAATAAGAATTTTTATTTGCATTTTTGTTCTCTTTTAAAAATATTAATAATATTTTTTATTATAGGTACACAATATAGATAAGTTTGTTTTCAACAAACAAATATTTTAATCCGAACACTAATTAAATTTAATGATCTTATTGAGAAAATATTGTCAAAACTGTATTCATTTTTCATTAATTTGTAAAAAGTATTATGAATTCAATTCAAGTATATTTTACAAAAAATTAATAGATTACAAACACTATAACGTATTTAATTAGCAAATAATAATGCATTTTTTTTTTTTTTTTTTTTTTACAAACTTATACAAAATACTTTTTTGAAAAATTCTTTAAAATATTACACAAATATTTAAATTCATTTAACCAAATATTTACGAAAACGATTTAAACCTTGTATATACCATCAATTTTATTATATATAACGTCCGAAATACATTATAAAACCGAAATAAACTTTAAAATAAATTTTCGTATAGCTGAAAAAACAATAGAAATCTTACGCTAAACCGAGGAGAAAATTATGTTATATCGTTATTTACCGTGACGGTTGAAATAAATTTCGACTTCGATTTTGATGTTAAACATCGAATTTAGATAATATTATAATATGTAGGTACTGTCGTAGATTATTTATAACACTATCGCGAATGTATTCCGAAAAATAAATTCCGTTTACCGCACGTGCGTAATATTATTATTATTATCATTACTATAAGTTATTGAAACGGCAAAACGATAGCGACAAGACAACGGGCGGGCGTATAAAACAAAAATGTCATTAAAAACACGCGTCGACACAAAAGGCGAAGAAAAAAGGGGTAAATAATATTTATTTTATATCGCTGGAGTTGTTTTTTTTTATTATTATTTCCATTTTTTTCCCCCGTCTCGGTGCATATATTATTATGATTATTATTATTATTATTATAATCATTCGCCCCCGCGGGCCAAACGATGTCGAGGTCGCGTCTGTAAATTATTTATGCGCGCATACCTGACAAAAGTCTGCTGGCTTTTTCAATATTATATATATATAAGTATATAATAACTTACCCTTCGTATCTTGTTCATGTTTTTGCCACGTGTGTATACACTTAAAAAAAAAACCGCAGCGGAGGCGTGTTTGAATTTTTCAAGACTCGCGGACAAACACGATTTCCCGAGAGCGTGTTTTTCTCGACGTCGGCGGCTGTGGGCTACAACGGCGGCGGCGGTCGATTCGTCTTTTTATAATTCATATATATTATTATATGCATACGTATAAAACAACAACAATAATACTATGATGGTTTTTTTTCTTCTCGGAATTTTTCGAATTTCGGCACGAGTAACGCGGTCCGATTCGAACGGTAGATAAAACGAGTCTGCCACGACTATACAGAGTAGTCTAAATTTTACGATACAGTCGAATTTCTCGTGAAATTCTCACTTAAAAAAAAAAAAAAATAACAAAACCGACTTATATAAAAATTTTGTGGAATTATATATATATTCTAAAACGTTTCATTTGTTCATATTTTAAATACTATTTTGATTTTCGAAACATATATATATTCATTAAAAAAAACTATAAATATACAGAGTATTAGTTTAAATGCATTTTGTTGGATTTTGCACTACTTATCAATCACTATAGGTACTTAAACTTCAAAATGCAATGTCTCGTCTATGGGTCGACGGAAATAAATAATTTCAACACAAAAATGCATTTAAACTAATACTCCATGAAGTTATGGAATTTTTAATATAGGTTGCCGTTTGGCAATCGAAAGTAGGTATTCATTTTATCCCTAAAAATAAAGGTCAGAAAAAAAAGGACAATGTTGAATTATAGAATATATGATTCAAAAAAGTTTTAACATAAGCTAATTTTCGAAAAAATAACCATGTCAACGCAAATTTGACTGTATCATGAAATTTTAATGACGCCATATACAGCTAATATGTGTGACAAAATGCATAAATTCGGGGTTCGTAGCACTTGAAATCGACAAAATGCACGACAAATTATATTATAAGCATTTAAAAAAATATTTCAAAAAGCAAAAAGTAAAACAAATATTAAAACTAAAAAAAAAAACGATCGAATAAATCAATTAATAACTCAATAATTAAATAATTAAATCAATAATTTACGTCATAAAATTAAAAAAAAAAAAACTAGTATTTAAATTGACAGTTTAACGACACTCATTTGAGCCGCAGCTATATAGCAATAAATATTAGTTTTTTTAAAATAATTATGCTGATGCAGATGCACAATTCAAAACTTCACTTCCCGGAGTAATTACACGATTCGTGCAAGTACTATACATTCTCTACAGTGGCTGAAATTTTGTGATTTCCGGTCGGAAATGTTTTTTTTTGTTGTTTTTTTTTTTCCAAAGATTTCGTCGACCGCGATAAAATATAATATATCTTTTATACTGACTGGCCTTTTTCGCTTTTCCTTTCTTTTGTTTCATCATATATATATTATATATACGCTTATGGAGTTTTTCTGCGACAAAGACGTGCGGAACCGTTTTCTATTGTCACGAAAATAATACAATAAAAAAAATATATATATTATTAAAAACACTCGCTGGGACAAAATAACATGAAATATTTCAGCCGAACGGACTTAGATCGAAAAACGGGTTTTTTTTTTAGGAAAAGATAAGGAGTAAGGAAGTGCACATTCGGGCAAATTTGCCGAATGTTAACCGATCGCGCGGTATAGGGTAAGACTTGGCTACATTATCCATTACGGAACTGATTATTATTGACAAAAAAAATTGTATTATAAACAAAGTCAATTGGAAAATAATATTACTATTTGATTCTGGTGCCTAAAATAGGTGTTTTAGTTTAAGAAAAAGCGCGCGAGGGTAAAAAATGTCGACAGTAGGCACAGCGAAAACCACTCGTCGGCGAACCAATCGATTTTCGTATTTCGTTTAAAGCCTATATCTGTACGCGTTATTCGGCGATATATTTATTATTAGCGCGGGAACTGTTAAATTGTTTTTTTTTTATTTTTCCATTTCATTCGGAAAACAATATAAAGCTTATTGGAGTACGTATATATAAATATATATGCATTGTATAACGTACACATTATATACCCAGAGAGAACTGATGATTTAGCTTTCGCGGGCGGATTACAGTGTCCTATTGAAATTCCATTTGCTGCGCCGCCGCGTGCAAAACAAACGGAATCTCCGCCGAGATCCGCGACACGCAAAAACGGGATTTCAACTCGACAACATACAGGGTGATTTTTTTTTTCTTTCTTTTCACCGCGATCCGGCTATCTGGTATTTATATACGGAAATTTCGCATTTTATTCGGTAATCCATTAAGTGTATTTCGTCTAATGATCGTATGCACCTATACTATGCGATATATCTAAACATCAAAGGAAAGGTAATACGTTTCAGATCCGTTATTGGACGAAAACCTTTCGGTATGACGCATCCGGTTTCAGTTTTAAACTAATATAATAATTTATAAACCGTGTACCTGCGATACGCGTGTAATGAATATCTATTTTTTTTATTTTTTTTTACAAATATTCGCGTCTGTATTGAAAATAAAGGAAAATTTTCAACACGAAAATCAAAAGTTGATATATTGTGTGTTTACGGTGTGCGGAATAAGGATACAATTTTAAAAATATTGTAAAGAAGATATTACCGTTAGACGATTTGACTATGAGTGAAAAAAAATACTATTTTACCCGAAATATTCGTAGTAAATATATAGTATGCAAATAACGTCACCCTTCTGCACTACGACAGCAAACCTAGACGGTTTTTATCCGCGCAAAAAACCGAACCGCCATCGTTATCGTGGTTCAATATTTAGGTATCGTGGCAACTTTGTGAAATCCGTGGCCGCCACTTTACATAATGTATAATAATATTATACTTAGCACAGAAAGCTAGTCATGCAATAATTACTGTCAGCTGAGATTTCGTTCCGTAAAATGTCAATACTTTCAGCGCGTTTACAACTGAAATACGTCGCCACGCCATCGTACCCTGCAGTTATTTAGCCGCGGTTCTGATATTATCGGTCGTTATTATGATTGTTGTTTAATAAGCGAATTCCTAACCGTCGTCGCGTGTTACAATATATAGATCAACGGAAAGACAATATACTTTAGCGACGATATTATCGTCTTGAAACATTTCGGTCGTAAATCTCGTCCGCGAGCGTAGGTATATATTATTATAATATTATCACAAAGATACCGTGTCATTTTACGTCGACGCGTAGGTACCTACTACACCGCGTGTTTGAAATGCAACAACAATAATAATAACAATCATAATAATAGTAACGTTAACAGTCCCTACGATGAAATACGTCTAGGTATATTTCATGGGAGCTGGATTATCAATGTTGTTTTTACCATCTATATTATAATATATTATACTGGTACGGTGTTGAAGACGATAATATTTTATAATCGCATATCCGATTATGTACCACAGATTACGAGTAAAAGTCTGGTCTAAAAGAAGCTTGCTACTGTGACTGATGAGAGTCGCTGTACTTGCTACAACTATCGCGATAGTGATCGTCACAGAGACAGCGTCCATCATGCGACAAAATAAAAAAGTGATACAGAATAAAAGACAATATGATGGTAGAGTTAATAGTGCATTTCAGTAGAAACGTCTGTGCGACACGACAATAAAATAGAACGATATTTTGTGCTATAGTAACTACCACTCTCGCGATATTAAATTTCAACTATCAAGCATACGTGTTGTTGCGGGATGTAGTGTTTTCACCTTAGAATATTCCTACCGAGATCCCCTCATAAATTAAAATTGGGGGGGGGGGCTAACAACCTTTTATGTATACGCATTATTGTTTTAGTGTCAAGGATATGCCTTTCGGGAATTTCACCTTTAATAATTTCACTTTGTATACAGTAATACACGAGTAATAAATTATAATATTAATAACAGTGTAACGGTTCCTTGTTTTACTTTTTACATACAATATGTCTATAATCAAAAAAATAGGTTGAGGGTTGAGTCTAATCGATTCTATTCACGGAGCACTGCTACTCGCGGGTATTTTTTTTCCGTTTCTTATTCATTTTTCCTCCCAACAATTTGTTGAACAAGTGAATTCGAGTGTTTGTATTCGGAAAAGCACAGTAACCGTGTCTATATAAATTATTATTCGAGACAAGCGCTCGTTTTCGATATGATATAAATTTAAATTATAATAATAATATTTCTCGATACGAGTTTTGTATAGACAAGAGCCTTATCGACAAAGTCGTAAACTTTTATTTTAACGGATACAACAAAACAAAAAACTTATACAAAAGTAAAGTTTTAAATGTTTCTTTTTAATATACAATTTGTGTATTTACGGTGCGCCAACAGCGATATTTTTTCGTTCGGTTTTTTTTTTTGTTTAATAACTATTGTTATTTACTTTATGTAATCGAGTTATATTGATATTTGTTTATTCTGTCTATCCGCGAATAAAAAATAACATTTTAATCAACGGCGCGCCGGCGGTTTATTTCGCCGCTGTCGCGTCGTTGGTGATTGAAATATTATTATCGTTGGGCCGGGAAAAAATCCAAAAATCGAAATATCGAAAACCGTAAATAATATTTAATACCGTTGGACATTTTTAATATATATTTACATTAGTTCCCCATCCCCTCGCCGATATTTGTAGATACGCGTTAAAAATTGGTTAGTTGACATTGCGTTGTGATGTACTGTGCAGTGTTTGTTTTGTTTTTCTATCTATGATTGATTTATAAAAAAAAAAAAAACCGAGGATGTGGAGGTTGAAGCCACCCAACATATAATAATATTATGTACTGCAAACGATGTTCCCAGGATCCGGTTAAACGACGAAATGAATTGGATGGTCCGAGGAATTTGAAATTGCGTTTTGTAGATCGAATCGTATATGACTCCGAAATAATGGTATAAATACGGGGAACGAAAATGCCTTGGGTTAAGGATTACCGGAAGAGAAAAGCAATAGTTTCTTTTATTCCACTTTGAAGTCTTATACTATTAACCATGATTCGCGCGACGGAATCGATGCAATTTATATTGGCGCCGGTATAATCGTTTAATATTATTTATACGGGGTGATTATATTTGTAGAACGTTCTCTGTGAAAAATTGATATTATTTAGCTAGTCATAGAAATTATTAACAATCTGAAACCTAACCGTGCCCGTAAAATATTATACGTATATTACATAGATATGTGGTTAGATTTATCAAAACCGTATTCTATTAGCATATATATACTACTATCGTTTTGCATGTGTGACAACAAAATTATTGCGTCCGTTAAAAATGTTAAATTTAAATTTAACACATTGTTACTTTGACGATATTGAATATTACGGTCATTCATCAACGTCTGCGAGTTCATCGAAACGAATATTTTATGAGCCGTCTGTTAATAGACGTTTTCGTAAGATGTAATATTTTACGTACCTATAAACGTCATGTTATTTCGCGATAAATATTATAAATGATTATAATGTTTATATGTTTTACCGGTCGATCCGTTTAGTGATGCGTATAACGATTTTTTTTTTCTTTTTAAATTCTGAATAGAGCGATCTTAATTGTGGCGTATTTGTTTGTCTCGAGAAAACATTTTTTCGGTTATTAGGAATGCTACAAAATGTCCACAGTGTACCTACCTCGAAATTACGAGACATTTTTGCCAGATTGTATAAACAATTCTTTTAAATTATCAATATCCTTTCTACAAAATGAAAAAAATAACAACAAAATATGATTCTGTTTTATTTTTGTTAACTTCTGGATTACTTTCTGGCTATAAGGGGAAAAATATGATCAATAATAGTATATTGAGTATAAAATCATACTATTTTACTAAGCTAAGCACAGATTCGTTTTTTAATTTCGATTATTCTCTTGTCGAGTCCAAAATCCTAAATCGTGTACCAGTAATAGTAGCCACCCCTAAGGCATTTGTGTTTGTCAATATCAAAAATTAATTTATTATCCAAGCAATTAGTATTGCACGGAGAAAAAATCGACTCAAAAGTACGATACGATGTTTGTTGAGGAATCATAAAGTTAAAATACGAGTATAAACTTATATTATTCCGATCGTGTTTATAATTTAAAGGCATTTACATATTCGTGCAAATTCGCATTATAGATATTATAAAGTATTACTGTTATTTTTTTTTTTTTCATTAATTTCGAAAGTAGATCGATATGGTAATTTACACGCGATCGTTTCTGCAATGGAATCTTAATATTATTACTATTTCGGGATAAATTTTAATAAGCGAACGATTTCTATCCTGTCATTCAATTGACGAAATAACGTCTTCTTCGTTGTCATAGTCGTCAAATTTAATTCCGTACATAGTTCCGTCGATTGTTATAAACTGTATAAAACGTATTATTACATATTGCATACGATTTTGTACATCAAAGAATGAATTATTGAAAACTCAGCTGATGTACAATAAATATATATGTATACACATGTATTATACTATTTAGAAACTCCGAGTTCAAAGAGTATTAAATGCGTTTATGAATTCATCACTATTTCTCGGAGATTATACTACCAAAGCTCGAAGATAATATATTATTGCGTACATAACAGTATTAAATACTACAGATACGTTCAAATTTCCATTAAAATTTAACTTTATATTATACGGATAAATTAAAAGCAACGCGCCAAATATAATAAATATTATTGCCCAGAGCGAAATCCTATACAAACAGTTAATATAAACGTCTCGCGTATAATACACTAGTTATTGCGCGGCTTATTGCGAATAAAATTATCATCAATGAAAATATTATTAACTCAGTCGTAAATTCGTTATTCGAGATTTTCGCTAAAACAAAAAACGCAAAATCATAAAATTAACGTTGTCGCGTCGCCCGATTGTTCGGAATACATTTCCATCATACAGAATAGTGAAAACGATCTATTTATTTTTCCTCATCGTCTAGATGCCTATTAAGGTACCGATGATTAAATGCGAACAGCACTAGATCTGTGATAAAAATAAAAACATTTTTTTTAAACGCGTTTTTGTCGGTTTTATATACTATGTACATATAATATAATCTTCATATATTATAGTGGTAGTTTTGTTTAGCTCTATTAACCCACCAGGAAACGATCTTATAGAGCATTCTTCAACGATGTGTTTTGAGGTTTGAATTTGTTGTTTGTTTCGGCGGTAAAAGCCGTTAAACCCCAAACAATTTGTATTTTTATTCCCTTTACGTTGATCTGGCTAATCACGGTTTGATACTTATCAGAATCCGTAACTTAAAGTGTATTAAATCTTTACACTCACGTTAACCGATTTTAGATTCGGAGTGTAGCGAAGGATCTATTGGTCTTACTATGATCTGTGTGTGTGTGTGTGTGTTTATTTTTGTGTCTGTGTGAACAACTTTTTTACCAGACAACTTACTCCGAAGTATAAACTATAGCATCTTTTCTGAAAGGTAATTTTTTCTCATTAGCGCATTGAGAAAGTAAATTTTCGATTTTTCATGGTTTTCGAAATAATCGGGAAAAACCAAAAGAAAACAAATTATAGATAAATATTTACAACGCGCTGCGGTGTTACCGTTTTCATTGGTTTTAATTTTTATTTAAGATGTTTTCTACTAGAAATATTGCTGCAATAGATAAATGACAAGAGACCTTTCTTTGTTGAATTTTCAATCTAGTTGGTGGCTAAGAAAGCCGTTATTTTATTTTTTATATAGTTCTTTTAATAATTGAGCAAAACCGAAAAAAAATGCAGACAGTATGGAAAAATGTACGATTAAGTTTAAAATATTCATAGAAACTTATCAAGAATCGTATAAACCGAGTTATGTACGATTATATTTCAAATTTCAAATAACTTGTAACTAAAACATCGTTTATAATCGGATATCCTTAATAACGATTAATTCCGTTGATTAGATCAATAAAAATAATAATAATAATAATAAATCCGATAATTTCGTTTTCGTTAAAACGTAAGAAAACTATCAAAGATATCTTTTTTTATTTTTTTTTTTTTTTTAAAGTCTTATAAGGTTTCATAAAGAAAAAATAAGTATATACATAAAAGTATGTTTATTGTTTAATCATATAATATATTACACACAAGTTTAACATTTGTCATAAATATCAATAAACATTTAAAAAGTAGGTACAATAAAGTACCTAGAAATTGTTGAAACATAATCATTTAAAAACGAGTAAACAATAAAAACTGTAAAAAAAATTAAACATTTTCAATAAAACTATAAATGTACATTCAAAAAAGTAGGTTTTAAAAAAAATTTAAATCGATTTAAAACAGTATAATTAAAAAAAAGGTTTAAAAAATCCGTTAAAAAAACCTCACACAAAAAAAAATGTTAAAAACAGTTTTTACAATTAAACAATTTACGTTCGGTAGAAGTTGAAAGAGTTCAAAAAACGGTTATAAACAGAAATACGAGTAGTTTAAAACATGAAATTAAAAAGTAGGTCAAAATACAATAAAAATTTTAAAAATCGATAGCTTAAAAATACTGTCGTCGAGTTGAGGCGACCATTAATAAAATTGTCCTCGAATTTGAGTCGAGTAAAGCATAGTTTTTTGGCGATCGCCATGCGCTGAAAACATATACCATAAGTATACAAATCATTATATTATATCAATGTATAGATAAATGAAACGGAACATTTACGAATAATTTTAAGATAAACAACCAGTATATGAACCTCGGATTTATCGACCGTTCTGGGCAAATGTAGGGCCAGCTTAGGTGCCATCAATCTCGCGATCCGCACGATAGATTCGCCGCCCCCGTACGCCTCGCACAGTACCGACAAACTGTACGAGTCCTGGCGGAGGTACTCGGGACCTCCCCACGGGGGCGACGTGACCACAACATTTGCCCGTTGACCACTCGGTCCGGCGAAGAAGTCGTTCTGACGGAACTCTATGTTCCCGGCACATCCATATACACTGACGTTGTGCCGGGCCAATTCTAGTTTTGTGTCGTCGATATCCATAGCGATCACTGATGTAGAATCAAAAATTAAAAAAAGAAAAAAAACCCATTTTTAACATTATGTCATACTATAAAAGAAAATAATATATTATGTAGGTAGGGTAGGTATAATAGGTACGTTACCTTTACGGCAGGTTTTGGCAAGTTGGATTATATTTCCGCCGGCGCCGCAAAAAGGGTCAACGGCAATCCCGACTGGAAACCGACACCGGTCGGCAATATGCTTCTCCAAAACTTCAGGGCACACCGAATAGAAGCTCTCTGTAAAACAACAAAAGTTACACAAATTATAATAATAAACGAACACAAGACACAAAACGCGATAAATTACTATTAGACGGTGAATATAGGTACCGTGGTCCAGAAGTATGCCGGCGTCGAACCGCACAAAAAGTAGGTGCCGTTGTATCCAGTACTTTTTGATGCAGTTCAGTTCTGGAATCGAGGTCTTACCGAGAAGAAACAACAAATATTTATTTCGTACATATTTCGTTGTGAGTATTATTGTGAATACACGATTTACAATTATTCGAGTATAATATTTACCTCGGTGTCGTCTCCGCAGAACTTCTTGACGACGCTGGTGTACTTCTGCGCTTCTATTTGGCTATATGCCGTTCTCTTTGCTGAAAAAATATAGTACATTGAAATGAATTATAACCAAATGTTTTTTTTTTTCAAAGTTACGGAAAAGTAACGTTAAGGAAAAAGTAATTAGTTTTAATTGTACAATATATTTTTATATGAATTGAATTATTACAAAACTACATAATATTTCATCGCGATAAATTATAGGTATGATATTTTATATACCGTTCGTGGTCAAACATTTTTGTCCCGTCAACACCACTAATGCGGGATTCTGAAATAAAATCCGAAAATTATTTTAAACGTATTTTGGCTATTCGAAACGATAACAATTAGTACTTACAACCATGTCTTCCTGTAAAAAGTCGTATTCGACGCCCACGTTACTCGCACAGAGATCTTCAGGTATACGATACTTGTGGTGGACGTCGAATACGTTTTCTTCAAGTTTCTTCAATTTCTTTTTCTTCGTTTTCTTGTAAAAATTGAAATTTCCCGTACTTATCATCATTATCCGCATTTCCAGATCCTTCTCCATTCACACATTGTCCATCTCGTTGGCTGTCTGATGACGACACCCGGGGAGAGCCAGTTCCGACCGCCGTTCCTTGAAGTCCGACCCCTCCCAGTAGGAGGGCTTCTGGAAACTTTTGATTATTTGATTGACTTTTTTGCATGGTTGATTTTTAAGGGAAATTATACCCTGCATTTTCATTACTCTTTTAATTTGTGAAGATTTCACCTAAGCCACTGAACAGAAAGAATATAAGCCAAAGAAAAAAAAAACTAAAGGAGGGGTGAATGACACAAATTAGTCATTATTATAATATTTTTAATTCGAAAATCTAATTACTTATGGATAAAATAATAATAATAACAAAAACAAAATGCAAATAAAAGAAAAAAACTGACATACTACGCACGATAAGTGAATCATTGGTTTAAATAAGAAGTTAGAAAGGTAGAGGGAAAATTTAATGTATCTGTACACGACGATTAACCATTTCTAACAGAAAACGATTTTGAGCGGACTTCAGTTAATAGTATTTCTTTGTTAACAATATATATGCCATATTATGATACACATAATTATAATATTTGTTTAAAATTGTACCTATTTTCTGTTTTTCCCAATTTTTCCCATTAACTAGACAAATTAAAAAATGACCTCTCTATTAATGTGTCACTCCAGAAAGATTTCCGTTTAGAAAAAGTGCTACAATTGAAAATCAGATAAAAATTGGCTGTAGAAAATTTGTCTACAGAAAATAATATAAATATCTTTGTAAAACCAATACATTCCTATCTCTGCTCAGAATCTAAAATAAAATGGACAAATATACTCTACACCACGAATAGACCACTGTTATAGATGAGAAATTGAGAAGGTAGAATATAAAAAATAATTGAATTTATATCTGTGCACAACGATTAATCATTGCTAACGAAAAACGATTCTGAACCGAGCTTTAGGTAAGTTTAATATAAGTATTATTACCAAGTTTCAAGTCTCTAAGTTTATTTATAACCGAATTACAGCGAAAAGACTCCCAAAAATTATAATTCCTTAAAAGCTCAAAAGTAGCTCAAGTTTACAAGGAAAAACATGTCTTAGAACAAAGAAAAAAAATGTCGATCTAAAACTTTTGCGACACTTTTGAGCTTTTAAGGAGTTTTAATTTTTTGGAGTTTTTTTTGCTGTAATTCGATTATAAATACACGGAGAGACTTGAAACATGGTAATTATACTTATATTTAACTTACTTAGACGTGGTAAAATGTCCAAAATCATCGAACGACTTTTATTTTTTTTAATAAGCGTTTTGAAACAAAATTTAAACAAAAATCGCAAAAAAAAATACAGCACTCCAAATTATATATTACCAAACTGTGCTCTGAATCGTCTTTCGCCAAGCAATGGTTTATCGTTGCTTACAGATACAAATGAAAGAACCTTATATATCCTACCTTTCCAACTTCTCAACTACAACAGTGACTGCTCTCATCCCCAGTCTCAGCTCTTTTTTTTTTTTTTACTATAAAATAATATAAAAATATAATTTAAAATGATTACAGTTAAACTATAAAATATGAGATAAAATTTGAATAAATTTGAACCTTTAACATTTCAAAAATAAATAGGGGGTAGGTACCGATTTGTATATTTGAAAAATCCGACTAATTTTTGTTTCAATAAACGTCAATAGATTTTAGCGAACGAAGGTATAGTGGATATTTATTTTCGGAGACGTCGTCTTTGTCCACGAGTCTTTAAATTAAAAAGAAAAAAAATAAGTTCAAGTTTAAATGACATCACGCCGAGTAATGACATAAAAAGGCACAAAAATAACGGCCCCAGCGGAGGTTAAATAAATTTAACTTGGCATTTAAAAGATAAATTCGGGATGATTTTTTTTTTCAAATCTGACACTGAATAAATGTGTTTTGTTCTTTTCGAATTTCACGTCGTTACAATTTTTACTTTTAAAAATAAAAAATAATGAAAATTGATACTAGGGACAGGTGTGCAACGGTTGTATGAGGGAAGTTCAGATGGTAGTATACATTGAGTTATTCAATTTATATCTGTACGCAACGAAAAACTATTGCCAACGAAAAACGATTCTGTGCAAAGTTCGGTTACACATGGTTTGAAATGTCGTAATTTTACGATTTTCATAAAAATGTTTACTTAAAATTCTTATTGAAAAAAAGACTACTTTAACTCAACTTTTTTTTCACCACAAAGTACAAATTATAATAATACTCATTTTCAATGTTCAAGCATTTTTGTTCAGCTAAACAAAACTATCTACATAAAAAAAAAAAAAAACTAAATAAATTAGAAAACATCAAATGCCATTAAATAACTCAGAAATTGCTAAGAGGTTTGGAAAATTTTACCACGTCTATAAAATAATAATTGAAGTATTTTCTGAAAATTTCAAGCTTCTAAGTTTATATTTAACCTAATTTGGTACAACAAAAGCACAAAATCGATAATAATGAACCCGTTAATGTGGTAAACTTTCTCGGTTTTCCTATATTTCTACTAGTTTTCCCAACTATTTAGCAGAATAAACCGAAAATTAAAATAAAACTTCCATATGCACAAACTAATTATTATGTTCTTTCAGAAAAATGCTACACTTAATATTTGAAATAATATTTCTGTTAAAAAAAAAAAAACCAAATGAAAAATCTTCCTCTTTCTGAGTAATATTGAACAAAAGCGGGATTCCAGTCTATATAAGATATACGAAATCCATTGTATATAATGACTTTATAGTGTAGCAGCGTGTTCTCGTATATTCACTAAGTCCTTCCGAATCGACTTCCGGTCACCGGAAGCGTCCGCGACGGCATAATAATACAACCTCCAGACCGTTGTCTTGGATACTATTACTATTATATTTTAGCGAAGCGTTTTCATATATATATATGTAGTTATAATATTACTGGAATACAGAAAAGACCTTTGTGCGTCGTATTCCTCCGGCCGGCTGGTCTGTTCGGGTGTTGGGTGGTATCGCTGTCGACATTAATCTCTGTAGCAAACACCTCGTATGCGCTCTCGTGTCGTTTATAACAATAATTCCGGGAGAGGTCAACCCAGATTTCACGCTCAAAATATTATGTTAATAGTGATACTATTACCTCGGTGTACTTCACGTACGAAATACAAAACAATTGGGCTGGGATCGAGATTCTGTGTAAAAATCTCCGAGTAAGTTCTTAAACAGTTTAAATAATGGAAAACAAAATTAAAATTCGCAAATAATAATAACAAAAATCGATATTATTCGGGCATTACTATATGTATGTTGCCATATTGGTAAAGAATATACAAATTAGTTTGTTTTTAATTTGTACACACACCGAGACAAACTCCATAAAACAATTTATGATTTTTCGTTGGTGGCTAAATACAAAAAGAAAAAAGACCACGGTCAAAATGCCCCAATAACCGCCAATTGAAAAATTGTTTAAGTTAAAAAATATTTAAATTCTAAATGCTCGTTCTAAAATTCGTCCCGAATCAAGAACCACATGCCTTGAGTTCGTATAATTTTCTTCTCCACCAATCAGATGACTTTTATGAAAATGAGCTTAAATTTTTTTTTGACCACTTAATATTTATACATCAACTCTGTGTGATATTTCAAGCTATGTTCAATAATAATATTGTATGCAATTACAAATGTAAGGTTGTTATCAAAATATTATGAAATGCATTTGGTACCTAATAAGGTCTTATTTAAATTTTTGTTGTTTTTGATTTAGTCAGTAAATTTTCATATAATATCTAGTCAAAGGACATGTGCCTTAAGACGTAAATTTTATACATTTTGTGTAGTTTTTTGTCTCTTGTGTAATGTAGGTGCTTTTAATTTATGTACAAAGACGTTGTACCCCCATGTGCGGTGTTTTTAAAAACGTATACGTCATAGCAAATTAGTATTTAGTAGATACAACTCTGTACTGTTAGTTTTAATGCATTATATTTATTATAAAACTATTGTTAATCCTATAAAATAAGAACATTATCTATGGAACTATGTCAGATATTTTTTATATTTTTAAGCGATATATAGGCATTTTTAATATTTGATATTTCACATACTATTCATATCTCACTTGAAAATTGAAATATTGAAAAAAAGGAACGTAGTTGGATAGATCATTTTTTTATCTTTTAGTTTAATAATAGGTATATCCTAATTTACTTTAATAACCGTGTCAAGTGCATATTATAAGGCATATTTTTACTGTGGTCATTTTTAAATTTAAAAATTTTTACTGCGGACATTTTGGTGTAATATCGCATTTTGTACAGGGGAAATTATGCAAAGCAACAGAAAACTAGGAAAAACATTTTGTAGAAAAACTATCCAAATAATCGAAAAATAGAATTTTTAAAATATTTCATATTAAAAACCGTTTTGTATAGCACGAGTTCACGACACACATTTCCATAGCATAAAACCTAACCTAATGTATTGATAAATATAAAAATGATATTAGTATTATAATAGTTTTTTTTTCGGTAGTTATTCCGTTTATTAGCCCAAACGGTTCTCATAGACGGAAACTAATAAACTATAAAACAATAGTGGCAATGACATGCATAGTGTGGGAAGGATGGAGTTGAAGTTTATTGGTTTACAAATACAATAACAGTAATAACAGTATAGGTATTTTTTGTAATTTTATCTTGGAATTATATATATATTTCAGCCAAGTTATAAGGAAAATCTTGACTGAGTAACAAATTAGCTTTTTTGAATCCGGATTTTACATTTTCGACTTAACATTGATAACAGAAAATTATTTTCCGATTTATTCATTACATGTATTTACTACATCCTCGTCTATAGAAAATTCTTGAGCGTGCCACTGTATAACGATCTCCAGTTATAAAACGCCGACTGTTGTTATCGGACTGATGTTGGAGTGTTTGTATTATATATAAGTACTTTTCCGTTGACCCACTATTCCCGCGGAAGTGCTTTCTACACTGGTATCCAGTCACAGGAATTGTCTGATGGCATTTAATCTCCCGATCATCAAGACATTAAACTACTATTGTATAGCAGAGCGCGTTCGTATTGCGTCGAATAGTCTTTAATGCCGACAGGTCGCGTCTTATAATACCTCTGTGCCAACGCCGTATCGT